TAGATTAATATAATAAATACAGAAGAGAAGCGTGGATGGAGTGAGATTGAGGCTCTGGAGAAAGGAGAAAGACAGAAGTTATTACTGTAGATTAAAACGAAGATTAATATAATAAATACAGATAAAAACAGCAGAGGAAAAGTAGAAAATGTTTAAATCTGGAAGTTCCTAGTAAAAGTGCTTGATAATCTGGTTCAGGTGTGTCTCATTGGGGTTAGAACTAAACTCTGCTGGAGAGTTTAGACCCTCCAGGACCAAGTTCGGGCACCTCTGATATAGAGCAATTTCCCAATCCTGTTCCAGGAGGCACACCAACAGTACATATTTTTGGAAGTCTCCCTTATCTGACCCATTAACCTCAGGTTTTAGAGTCTCTCTAATGTTCTGATGAGGTGATTCAGATGCGTTTGATAAGGGAGAGGTTGAAAATGTGTACTGCTGGTGTGCCTTCAGGAACAGGGTTGGGTAACACTGGTTTAAAAGACATTTAACAGGTGTCCAAACATAGACGTCTTGGCTAAATCTGACTGAAAATATTATAGATATTTAACAATAGCCCAAAATTAGACTAGTCATTAACTCTTCTGCATTGTTCAAATTTACTACCATTTTGTTATGTTGGTGGCTGTTTTTGCCCCATTGACTTCCATTATAATTACATAAGTTGTTTGCAAAGTCATGACAGTATATAATCATGCATTCTTGATTGTTGGTGGTTTCCCTGATGGGAATTTGTCATTTGTACTATGAATAATATGATGTCTGAATAATATTTGGCTTGAATATAGTTTAATATACAAAATGCATTATGATGGCTAAACTATATGATTCTGCCACCAAATGTATAATAACTGAAGCACTCGCTTCTCTCACCAACGATCTCCAGGTCCACAGCAACCTGTGCCAGCAAATGAGGAAGGTAAACTGTGCAGATGTAAGTTCCCGAGTGTCTGACTTGAGATTCCTCCAGGATCAGAGAAGCGTTGCCTGTTTGATAGAGGCCTGTGATGTCCATTTCAGCTCCGCTCTCTGACGTCTCTGCAAAGCGATCGTTCTTGCCATCGTAAGCGAGCACCAGCCGTCCTTCACCCCTGAACTGATAACGCCACTCGATGGAGAATCCAGAGCCGTGAAGAGGAGAAGACGGATCAATCCAGAAGCCACAATCCAGCAGAACCGGCTCTCCCAGTCTACAGCGAACCACTGGAGTTTTGCTGGACACACTGAGGATCACTTTGAGGTAGAGAGAGAAAAACAGAAGTGAGCACAGTGTTACTATTTACTGTTTTAGTAATGCAGTATATTATTGACATGTAACATTATGCAAATACATATATTACTCTGTATCTGTATTATACAGATATATACCATCCACCGCCGGTCAAAAGTTTGGGTCAATAGGATATTTTAATGTTTTAACAAAAGGCCAAATCTGCTCACAACGATGACAAATTATTGTTTATAAATTATTAAAAATTACTTTTACTTTTTAATGTTGATAACATTATTTCCTGCTTCATACATTACATTTTTTGGATTTTTAGGTGAAAAGAAAGTTTGAATGAAAACAATTTATAATACATTTCTATATGTTTAAATTATAAATGTATTTACTTTTCGTTTTGAAAAGATTTACTGTGGTACTTTAAATGGTGTTGTATAACACTCTCCACAAAAATATGAAGCCCAACACAGAAAAAAAAATCAATTAAAACCAGTAATATATATATATATATATATATATTCCAAAACTTTTGACCATTGGTGTTCATAATTAGTATTTATATAAGAAACTGAACTGTTCACCTTTGGGTTCTTTAGAAGCTGAAGGCGCTCTCATAATATTGGACAGTGTCAGCTGCTCATCAAGGCCTTGTGCCGCCACTGAAAACCAATCAGCTTGCAGGTAGACTGGACTTTGGGCGGAGTCAGTGAGAGCAGAAGCCCATCTGACCATGGAGGCGTGAGGCATGAAGGGGTTAATCTCACATTTGGGTTTATTTACTGAGCCTTTAGGAGGATTCAGAGCAGCACTGCAGAATGTGCCTGCTGGATCTGGAGGAGGACAGAGCAATAAAGTTTAGTTATTATCTAAAATAGTATTTGTTGTTTCACATTTTAGCAAGTTGTCATTACTCTTTGTCATTTGTGACTGTAGTTTTGGATCCGGTTGGTGCAGAAAATGGACACAAACACATTTTAAAAATTGCGAGATAGCTGAAACTATACAAGTTGTACAATCATTAGAGTAAACCTAAAAGTATTTATTTAATTTAAGTACACATTACCCAAATCTTCATTTACTTAAGGATTTACTTGGTCTGAACAAGTCAACACACACGTCTTCGAATGGTGATGATCACTGACCAGTCACATAGTAAACTCTGGATGAGCTGATGTCTGCAGGAGGATGCAGTTCAGTCTTTATTTCTTCACTGTAGGCTTCAGTTCTGATGAACATGAGAGATTTCTCTTGACTCATTGGTGTTGATAAACCTCCTCCATGACCAGGCTTCTCCTGTACAAACCAGCACTCTAGAACCGGACATGCAGAACCACAAACTGCAAGAGAAACAAATAGGGTCCGTGATCATACAAATGACTGAAGTTCTAAAACAGTATAGTGACAAAGCGCCGCAAAACTTACCACCAAAACACAGTGTAAATGCGAAGACCGATATCTTGTATATGGTCGATATTTCAGACATCGTTGCTGTGTAGGTTAAAATGAAATGATACCTGTGTATGAACTCTCGAATGCCCTGTTTGGCGTGAAAAAGAACCATTTGGGGGTTTTCCCACAACAGTGGCTTTTCACTAAGGTTTCACTTTCACAACACTCGCTATGCGTCTTGCGCATGCGCATTAACTACTGATACTAGGAGGGTTTTAGTGTTGATATATATATATATATATATACACACACACACACACACACACACACACACACACACACACACACATATATATATATATATATATATATATATATATATATATACACACACATACATACATATATATATATAGCATTTTGATTGAAACAGCTCTCGTGTGAATTCTTTCAGATGTAACATCATTTAAAAATCTAGTAACAACTAGAATAGCTAGGCTTCTAAATGCAATTTCTCCAACACATGGTGGAGTAGGGGGCCTATTTAATTTTTTCGGGTGGTGGTTTCCACTGGGTGGCGCTCTGAACCAACAATAGTTTAAATGCGAATGAATATCAAGCAGGAGGCTTTTTGTCATAATATCACGTGATTAAAGTGCAGTTCAGGACACAGGGAAATACCATCTCTCTTATTGTTTCTCCCGTGGGTAACAGTGCCCAAGCCTGTATAGTCAGTGATGTTTTATTTAATTATTTGAATATCGTTATTTTTTAGGTGGTGTGAAAACCTTAATTGGTAGTGTAAACTAAATTAGTGAAAAAAGAAACATAGATAGGTTTTCTCAATAAATAAATCCAGAATTTTACCTGATTCGCATCATTTGCAATAAAATGCATCATTTGCATCTGCACCATTTCCATTTGTAAAATGCATCATTGATCTGCATCATTTGCAGATAAAATGTCTGTTTATTTATCTGTGTTTTACAAGAGCGCTGAGAATGAAAAAACTGGGATTATTTTGTGCAGTAACTTTGTCATTTATTCATTCATTTATTTTCTTGTTAGCTTAGTCCCTTTATTAATCCGGGGTCGCCACAGCGCAATGAACCGCCAACTTATCCAGCACATGTTTTACGCAGCGGATGCCCTTTCAGCTGCAACCCATCACTGGGAAACATCCATACACACTTATTCACACTCATACACTACTGACAATTTACCATGTCTTTGGACTGTGGGGGAAACCAGGGTGCCCGGAGGAAACCCACGCAAACGCAGTGAGAACATGCAAACTCCACACAGAAACACCAACTGACTAAGCCGAGGCACAAACCAGCGACCTTCATGCTGTGAGGCGACAGTACTGCGCAACCGTGTCGCTACTTTGTCATTTAATGTTATTAAATTCATTTATTTTATTATCCTCTGTACTCTACAGACCAAAACTAAGAAAATAAAACTAATTCATTTCATTTTAATTTAAAGGGGTTGTTCAACCAAAAATAAAATATAATCTCTGTTTACTCACCCTCAAGTGTTTCCAATCCTTTATGAGTTTCCTTTTTTTCTGTTCAACACCCAAGAAGATATTTTAAAGAAAGCTGAAAACCTAACTAATGGAAAAAACAGATACTAAGAAAATGGCTACTAGTTTCCATATATATATATATATCTTCTTGGGTGTTCAACAGAAGAAATAAGTATTTTTAGATAAATCACTTGTATTAAGAAATTCATTGTTTGTGTATTACAGACAACATAGATAAATTTGCCATCGAAGGAACAAATTTAATAGTTTTTCTTAGATTTTACAGTTGTCCATGTAGGGGTGAAAAACAAATAAGCAATTGATAGGCTACAGCATGTAAATAATATATTATACTAATATGCACGAGATGCTGATTTACAGTATAGGTCTATAGACGATGAAATGCTGCTTTTTTGTCAGTTGTCTACTGTGAAGTTTGAATAGGTATTACTGGGCTGGTGGTGTAAATGAAACGTAGAGTTTACATAAGAAAAAGCTGACAATAACTGAAATGCACATACAGTGGTTTTGGAGTAAAATAAAGTAAAAGCTGATTTGATGGTGATTTGCGTTTTATATTATAACCAACACTGTTAACCAATTGAAATTCAATCCAATTAAAGATGTTAAAATCAAAGGACTGAATAAAAAGGCAAAACAAAGACTAAAAACAATTCTAAAACAGACAGCGTATTTAGGTAACAATTCTTTCACTTTCGTAGTCAAACTGGGTTTAGACGATTACCCTGGTAATTTCTGACGTTGCATCAGCTCTGGATTTTTACTGGCCAGTATTTACTTGTCCGCCGGATTGAAGGCGGGGTTGGCGGTTCATATTTCTCTGTCTGATCTGGAAAGAGGACAATCGCACTTGGGGATTTGTAAAGCAGAGAAGTAGTTCTTCTGAATCTCGTAAAAAACAGAAAAAATGCAGTCGCTAATAGGTCTGCTGCTAGTCGTCTGTCTACAGTATGCTAGTGGTGGTGAGTCTGGCTGTCTCTTTTTAATGTGGATGTTTGAAATTGAGAATTTATAAAGTATGTAAGAAAATCGCAAAAGTCAGTAAATATGGGCGTTAATATACATATGCGAAATTAATTATGCCTACCAATGAAAGTGTAAACTTTAATGTTGATTTTAATTAATTGGGAACCATAGGCTAGTCGTTCTTTTGGTTGCTAAAAAGCATTGACGGCATTGAAATTTAACAACAATGTTGGATAAATAAACAACAACAATAAAAAGGTTAACAAGGTTACTGGCAGACTGGTTTTGCAGAACTTAACAGGTTGACTATTAAAAAAATATTTATTTTAGAAGGGGAACAAAGGGTACTTATGTGCTGTTCTGTATTGTACTACTGTGTGCATTCGGTTACATGTCAGTTTATCAGAAACGATGTTATGCAATTCATGTTATACCCATTAGATGGCAGTAAAACAAAGGCTAACCGTAATTTTTACTATTCATTGACATTTATTTTTTTCTCATTTCAAATAAGTTATATATTTTCATATATTTATCATAAATGTATATATATATATATATATATATATATATATATATATATATATATATATATATATTACTATCAGACTACTGATTATGACTGAATTATTATCTATATAATTTATATCACTACAGTGTATAACCGACTAATATTCTGACTGTAGGACTACATTATTTCACAAACCAGTTACATAAAATGTGTATGGATAAATAATATAATTTGTAGCCTGTATGATTTTTAACATTTATCTATAATTAGAATATACTTGGTGCACTAAGTATTTGGCTTTCTTATAAAAATATGACCAAGTCAAAATATGTTGACTGCTTTAACAGAAGCATATATATTTCAACATATAAATATTTGCTAAAACTGTTTTTTAGTGTATTTTGTTATTTGTATGTTATAAGGTTCACCATGATAAGCTTAAAAAAATTCCTTATTGTTTCAGCAACCCACAGCTGGAAAGCCTATTACACTGGAACAACTGGGTTGACTGAGTTTCCAGAGTTTGTGGCACTGAATCTCATAGATGATCAGTTGATGGGGTACTTCGACAGCAAGACCAACCGCTTTAAGAGCCAATTCCAGTGGATGGAAGATAATCTCGGGAAAGAATATGATGAGCAACAAACTAACATTCTACTGGGCTATCCTGAAGTATTCAAGAACAACATTAAAGTTGTGATGGAGCGCTTCAACCAAACACAAGGTAAAAAATTAATAGGTAACAAATAATAGTAAAACACCAGTAAATAACATTTAAAAATATTGTGTGCTACATGTTAAAAAAATAGTCAGATCTTTTTTTTTCTATCAAGCACATTTAAAAAATAGACATTTTAAACAAATAAGATAAAAGTCACATGCTAAAGTTAGGCTAAAGACATAAATAACCAAGATGTCCCCCACTAGCCAAGGAATAAAGATAGCATTAAAATGTGATCACAGTTGTAAAAGACCCATTACACTATTAACTCAAGTCTATTGTAACAAGAATACATGACCTGAACGAGACTGAAACAAAGATTGAGAAAGAGATGTTTCCTCAAGATCTTTAGTTTTCACTTTTAATGGAAGTTGCTGATCTAATATGTTATTGATGGTCTTTAGTCCCCTTTCATTCTCCAGACGCCCTTTCAGTCTTAATTAGATCAAGTAGATGTCACGATTTTTATTTGTCATTTTGTCAGCCAGTGTGAATTTCTCTGTCCAGTCGTGCCCATTGTAGACATGGGTTAAAAAAAAACTGCTATAGACAGAAGATAATTAAACACTGAATGGAATTATTGTACATCCGAGCAGCAGATTCCACTTCTCATCTGATTAACCGTTCACTATAATAATAACATATAGATTAATATAATAATCTAATATATTTTTATGATTAAAAATGAATTACAAATACAAGTGATCTGGAGAAACGATTAAAGTCCTACAAGCATCATAAGAAGATGAAGAAATGAAGGCAGTCTGAAGATTACAGTGCAAATGTCTTATTCAAGCGCAGAGCAGAGAAATTTGATATATGACTATATATGAACATATTTGTAAAACTGTAGCCAATATATTTGAACGTAGTATATACAGTTGAAGTCAGAATTATTAGCCCATCTGGATATTCTTTTTCAAAAATTCTGTTTAACGGAAAGAAAACATTTTCAACATTTATAAACACAATGGTTTTAATAACTTATTCCTAATATATTATAGATAATTTTCAAGATACTACTATTCAGTTAAAAGTGCAATTTAAAGGCTTAACTAGGCTAATTAAGCAACAATTCATTGTATAACGGTGTTTTGTTCTATAGACAATCGAAACAAATATTGCTTAAGAGGGTTAATAAAATCGACCTTAAAAGAGTTTAAAAAAATAATAATAAAATAAAAACAAATAAGACTTTCTCCAGAAGAAAAAATATTACAGGAAATAATGTGAAAAATTACTGAATTTGTTAAAACATCATTTGGGAAATATTTGAAAAAGAAAAAAAAATTCACAGGAGGGCTAACCACTTAGACTTCAACCATTTTAACTTCAACTGTATGTAGCCTATTTGTTATTCCAATAGTTGTAAAAAGTACGTAAGCGGTCATTTTTGTGATATACGCTGCATATATGACTTATATATGTATTTTAAATATGTGAAATCTAAACATGAACTTGTGTCATTTCTGTCATTTGCATTTATTCCATATCTCATATTTCTATATGGACTGTGATTATAATGAAAGTGCTTCATTATAAGCACTTCTGTGCTTTATTGTACGCTCTAATACTCATTTACTTGATGAATTTATATATAAAATAATACAAAAGGGCAGAAAACAAAGGAACAGAAAAATAAAAATACACATCTAAGTTAAACAACAAAGAAATGAATCAAAAATCATTTGAATAAAGTTAAATATGCTTGAAAGGCTGGGAAAAAATTGCGGAAAATTCTACAAATGTATAAATAAATAAAACAATCTGTCAAAGACTTACACAGACATGCAGAAAAGCCGTCCGTGCATTCAGCTCTTCTTATTTACAACCTGTTCTTTATATTTAAGGGTTTTTCCAGCTGTTTTGTGTCTCAGTCTGCAGAGTCAGCTGCTTATATAAACCTTTTATTTTTAAAGATTAACCCACAAAGTTTTGGAAAAGTCATGGAAATCAGTTTAACAAAAATCTGTTTACTTAAATATGGTTCAGTTGTCTTTACTTCTTTTCTGTCCATGGCCAAACACAAACTCTCACATTATTAGTGCTGTCTGACCATTATCTAAACATAGATATAAAGATTCATTTAAACTATGTATATAGTCGCATGTTTTATGATATGCTGAAGATGAAGGTGCATTGTTTTTCTTATGATTTACTAGGTATACATAGACATTACATGAAACATTAGGTCATTTACATTTACTTGAAAGTCCTGAAAAACTTCTGGAAAAGATATTTAGTATTAAAAATGTGTATGAACCCTGCTCATAGATATATAGACCTTTTTCATAAAACGCAAAATTACCTGTTATGCTTTGTGTTCAGGTGTAAGGAGGATGCCTTGAACTTCCGGTCGGCAGCTTTATATGTATAAATAGTCACGTTTGGACAGCTTTGAAATGATAGTTTAATCTGTTTCACGAGCTTTTAACGTTTTGAACTAACACTGCTGTTGATCAGCGCCACCTCCTGGACTGATTATTTAAAAATGACTTCTGATGGAAATAAAAAACAAACGCTGTGTCATGTAGCCTTACACAATCCTGTGCCATTTAAATGGAGCATCGTCATCGCTAAAGTGATCATTCTTTTTGAATATATAACTAACCCAAACAAACGTTAATTGCCCAATATGTTTGACATATTGACCTATCGTGCAATACTTAGAGATGAACTTAATAACTTGTAGTGTTGCAGTATTTATTTACAAATTCACAAATAATGTTAAAGCCCTTTACAATGACATTTGTCTGTGTCAAAGTTTATAATTGGGGATTTACCTAATAGGACATTTAAAAGTATATATATAATAGGACATTTATATTTTTAACATCAAATGATAGAATCTAAATAACCTTGAGAATGGTGTGTGTTTTAAAGTGTTTATGGCTATCAGCATTATTTTTCTGTTATATAATCTTTATATAGTCAGTGTCAACAAATCATCTCAGAATGACAACAAAATATCGCTGATCACAACAAGATCTGTGACAATATATCACACAACAAAATTCCTTATCATGACTAGGCATGGGCCGGTATAAGATTCTGATGGTATTATAACCTTGGATAAAAATATCACGGTTTCACGGTATCATGGTATTGTGATTACCAGATATTGATGCTCAAACGATAAATTGTGCAGCCCTAATCAAGAGCACCAGGAGTTTTCTCGGTGGTGCAGATATTTGTTTCAATTACGAAAATCATAATTTTCACGGCCATTGCCGACAAAAAGTGTGTATTTATGTGCAGGCGAATATATTATCCTTGAATTTATCAGTCCTGAAACAGCCCAACTTTCACTCCTAATTGAGGGAGGTCGTTTGTGTCGATTCGTTTGTGACTGAATCTCTGTTATGAACGATTCATGTGAGCCATCGATAAACCTACATCTTGATGTGCATACTATCCACCTTTCTGTTCTCAATAGTATATACATTTATTATATTCAATCATTTAGGGCGGAAAGTATGCACATTGAGAAGCAAGCACTGTTATGTCATTAGCCATGCTTATTAAGTTACTTCAAAAATGAACGTTCACTTAGTCGACAATAATTATAATTAATTCTGGCACCAGCGTCTTGTTGTCGTATTTCATTTACTATTTAGCTGGTTTTCTTCAACAAAACTAGCTTCAAGTTAACATGAAATGAAACCGTGTTGCTATAGTTAGCTCACATTGCTAGTTTTAGTGGTGAACAGTTCATCTGTGCATGTCGTTATGAAAAATAGTTCACGGTTGTAATCTAAAATTGAAATCTGAAAATGCACTTCCTGTTTGTTTTCAGTTAAATTCTCACAGAAGTATTGGGCGTGGCTAACTTACTTAACCACGCCTCTGCAGCGATCAGCTTTGACAACAAACAGAAATTGTGTGGAGGAAACATCTGTTAGGTTGTAATAACTCCACCCAAACCCTTTTCTCAGTCTTTTGTAATGAAATGTCTGCTTTACTACATCCAATCAGCTCGCAGTAGAAACAACAAGCCACGCCCACTGTTTTCTCATTTAATATTTAGTTTCTCTAGGAGCTGCATCACAATACGAATAAATAAAAACAGTCGCAGTTTCCGCTTCATGCAGATTTAAGCTTAGTATTTACTGCAAGTTGATGCCACTTTACCTTATGCTAAAGCAGTAAATGACTGTAATAAGATCAATAAGGTTACTTGTTGATAACATAATTTTGTAACATAAATTCATAAAAAAAATATATTTGACCTATGAACGTTATGCCTTTAGTGTATATATCTATGAGGAAAACTGCACAAACTGGGACTCGAACTCGGGACTCCTGAATCTCATTGGCTTAATAATATCTGCACTGACCAATAGACTATCAGCACAGACTGTACAGACTCTGACTCTCTTCATTATCCACACTGTAATCCCGAATAAGTTGACAAAACTCTAAAAATTTGAGGTAATCAGTTACGTCAAATTTTTTAAGTTATGTAATTATCTATTTTAAGTAAACAGAAACATTAAGTTTTGAGTTTGTTGTACTCATGCAAGACACTTCACCTAACTTAAAATACCCAAGTTACTCAGCTTATACGTTTTAATTGCAGTTAACTTAATTGTTTTAATTTTTCCAAACTTTAAATACTTAGTCACCCAGCTCATACATTTTAATACCAATTAGGCTTGGGCGGTATCCAAATTTTGATACCGTCAAACCGCCTCCATATTTTACCCCGGTATCCGGTATTACCGGCGTAATAAAAAAAAAATTATGACGTAAGGCTCAGACAGCGTCACCAAACTGTTGGCTTAAGCCTAAACCATTCAGAAACTGAATACATTCTATGCGACCTTAGGCTCGCGGTCAGAGAGAGAGAGAGAGAGAGAGAGCGCAAAGCGACGCACAGCACCTCTCTCTCTCTCTCCCTTTTACACATACACATACACACACACACACACACACACACCTCTCCCGCGATTTATTCAGAAATTTACTCCCACACCGTAAGAAATCTGGCCGGCTCCCGCGGT